TGGAGATCTGGGAGTCAGGGTCTCCAGACCCCCGCCAGATTCCCAGCCCTGTGCCCCCGGCCCCAGGGACCCGAGGAGGGAAGCCACTGAGGTCCCCAGGGACCCCAGCGTCAGCACTCGCAGCCGGTCCGTCCCCTGCTGGGGAATCTGCGCCCCACGGCCGACCCTGGGAGTCCAGCCCGCTCCCCCGGGACCCTGGCGGCAGGGCCCCCAGCACCCCCTTCCGCAGGGACCTAGGAGTCCCAGCCACCTCCTTCCTCCAGGAGCCCCTGGGACCGGGCGTCGGCGCCCCCGGCCCCCGCCTTCCGGGATCCAGGTGTCTCCCCCCCCCCGCACCCCCACTTCGCGTCTCGGAGGCCGCGCTCGCGTCGCCATGGCAACGGGAATCTATTTTGCGCTGGGAACACGGCTCCAGCCGCAGCGCCCCGCCTCCATCAACCGGGGCCTGAGCGGGAGCGAGTGCCCCGAGAGCAGGGGCGCCGGGAGAGGGTCTGGGGTCCCGGCGGGTGGGGGGCGCCGCAGAGATGAGACCCTCGGAGGGACACAGCTCCGCAGACAGCACCCCGGAGCAGAGACGTGCGATCGGAGAGGCAGAGATGGGGAGACAGCCGGGGAGACGCAGAGACAGGGTGCAGAGACTCGGGAGAGAGAGACACGGGCGGAAAGGGGGTGGGGGCACCCAGAAAATGGAGACGGAGACAGGAAGCCAGGGACAGAGACACGCAGACACCTGCTGAGACACGTAAGGAGACACTCAGGCGAGGAGACCCCGACCGAGGGCAGAACCTGGGAGAGGCGGGAGGCGGGCGGGGGGCGCCGGGAGCAGGGCGGCCAGGGACGCCCCAGGACGCAGAGAAGGGGGACACGTGACGGGCGTGAGACCAGGGCAGGGGGCGCACACTCGGGGTCCGTGGGCCGCCTGGCACCGTCGGGGGAGGGTCGCCCCCGGTCCCGCCCCCGCCGCCTCCGCGGACCTCCTCCCGCCCGCGGGGCCCAGAACCCGGACCCTGCACTTTCCGCCGCCTTCCGGGTCAGCCTCCTCGGGACCCCTGGTCCCAGGCCCTCGTGCCTGCCTTCCCCGGCCTTACCCCGAGGTGCCTCGGAGCCCCTCCGTCCCTGGGCGCTGGACCCCGTGCGCCCCGCTCGTGCCTACCCCGGTCTTGCCCTCCGCAGCCACCTACGACCGGCTGCAGCCCCGGCTCCCTGGATCCCAGAGGCGTCTGGCCGCTTTTGCTGAGTCTCTGTTCGCCTCTCTCTGGAGCTGTCCGCTCTCCCTGGACTCTGTCCTCGTCTCTCTGGGTCTATGTCCCCCTCTCTCGGGGCCTCTGTCCCCCTCTCCCTAGACTCTGCCCCTTCTCTCCGGGTCTCTGTCCCCCTCTCTCTAGACTCCGTTCCCCTCTCTCGGGGTCTATGTCCCCCTCTCTTGGTGCCTCTGTCCCCCTCTCTCTAGACTCCGTCCCCCTCTCTTGGGGTCTCTGTCCCCCTCTCCCTGGGCCCTGTCCCCCTGTCCCTGGGCCCTGTCCCCCTCTCTCGGGGTCTCTGTCCCCCTCTCTCTAGACTCCGTCCCCCTCTCTCGGGGTCTCTGTCCCCCTCTCCCCGGGCCCTGTGCCCCTCTCTCTAGACTCCGTCCCCCTCTCTCGGGGTCTCTGTCCCCCTCTCTCTAGACTCCGTCCCCCTCTCTCGGGGTCTCTGTCCCCCTCTCCCCGGGCCCTGTCCCCCTCTCTCTAGACTC